ACAATCATTTTATTCTTTGTCATGTTGTTATTGTGGTTATTGAATCATTTTCAGTTGTCTCCAGCTCTTCATGACCGTTTTGGGGTTTTCTTACTGGACTGATTTGCCATTTCCTTCTCCAGCTCATTGTACAGATAAAGAAACTGAGGCAAACAGGGTTGAGTGGCTTGCCCAGGATCACACAGCTAATATGTATCTGAAGCCAGATTCGAACCCAGGAAGATGAGTCTTCCTGACTCCAGGCCCAGCATTCTATGCACTGCACCACCTAGCTGCCCAGTCTTTATCATTATTACATATCAGTCGCCCACTTTGCCAGGGAGGAGGGGGCTGGGGAGGGGTGCATGGAAGACACAAAGCTTCCCCTTAATGAATTGGCTGCCTGCCTTCTACTAAAATATGTAAAAAATGGAATGTAAGTAGGAGAAAATATGCATGTAGACTTGGGTCATTTATTGGGTCTGGTATTCCCTGCCCAGCTACGTATTCAGAATTAATTAGACTCAAGAGATAATGACAAAGATAAAGGCATTTGGCAGATTTGTGATCCCAGGGACATTTTCTGAGAGGAATGAATTAATCACCCAGATCTGCTTGGAGGCCGAGAATGGACTGGGGTTTTGTATTTCTGGGAGTATCCAAGTATTCTGGCCTCTTCCCCTCCCCCCCCCAAAAAAATATGATTTCACAAGGGTTTTGAGGATGAGGAATCAAAGACAAATGGCTAATCTTATTCCCAAACCCTGAAGGCTATTGTAAAAAGAGACCATACAGTTCTTCCTGGGCAAAATGTGACAGCAAAGAATACAAATTAGATATTTTTCTCAAATTTATGTTAATGAACAAAACAGAATTGATTGACATTCTCCTGTTTCTGCATAGTAAAGACTCCACTGGGTAGGAACATTCACACAAGCATACAGTATTTATCTTACTAAAAGTCTGAAATGGAAGTTGTGAGCCAGCCAGGTGATGTGTTCCCAAGAGGGCCGTGGGAGCCATTCTGCAGCTCTTTCCCCTGTTCCCTGGCTTATCCAGGTTAGGTTCCACTAACCACTGATTTCTGACCTCAGGAAAGAATTAGAAGTTGAGGAAAAGAGCCAGCAGCTCAGCACAGCGATGAGTCACTGCTGAAGCCAAGCCATTCCCACTGCCCTGGGATTCCCAGATGAACTAAAGGTCAGCCTGGATCCCAGTCTGCAAGCAAATACTTATGGGCCCAGAAGTGGTCCAGTGGGCAATCTCTGTTCCAAGTGTTTGCATCCAAAAGAAATGATTTTACGAATATTCTATACTTTTTTTTTTAACTCAGGAGAGTTGTCTATTGTAATTGTTTGTTGTTCACTCGTTTAGTGATATCCGACTCTTCCTGTCCGCATTTGGGGCTTTCTTGGCAAAGATCCTGGAGGGGTTTGCCATTTCCTTTTCCTCATTTTACAGATGAGGAAACTAAGGCAAACAGGGTTGAGTGACTTTCCCAGGGTCACACAGCTAGTAAGTGTCTAAGGTCATATTTGAACTCTGGAAGATGAGTCTTCCTGACTCCAGACCTGGCACTCTATCCGCTGTGCCACCTAGCTGCCCATTGTAATTGTACATTTCATAAATACTCTGATAACAGTGGTGTTGGCTACTTGTCTGTTTGGTCTGTGCTAAATTAATTTCCCTTAAGAGTAGATCTGACCGTGTCAGTCCCTTACTCCATTGACTGCAATGGCTCCCCGTTCCCTCCAAGGTCAAATCTAAACTAAATTTAAAGCCCTTCACGACCTAACTCCAGCCTATCTTTCTAGCCTCGTATATCAATGACCTGCGCTCCTGCACTCTGCAGTCTAGCCAAATTCTGATTGTTTCATCCTTTCTTTCTGTATAGTGGCTAGAACAGAACCTCCAACAGAGTGTAAATGCTTATTCATCAATTGGCCCTCCTATGCAGCCCTTCACCTCTTGGCCCCATGCCTCCATGCACGCCCTCCTCACTTCCATCTCAGAATCCCCCTCTTCCATCAAGAGACAGCTCCAGCTTCATCCTCTGAAGGCGGAGCCTTTCCTGACCGCACTACCTGCTAATGCTCTACCTGACTGGCCTGTGTTTAACCACCCAGTAGTTCTGTTAATTTATTGTTTTCATATTTGTTCTTTATATACTTAGATGTGACCTTGTGCTCTCCCCTGGCCAGATTGAGAAGAGGGATTATTTCATTCCTTGCATTCTGAGTCATCCCCAACGGGGCTGGAACTTGCCAGGCTAATAAGCGCTTTTCGATTGATTGCCTGATGGGAGATGGCTGCTGCTTTTCTGGCACTGGTCACTGTTGGCAAAGGGAGAGCTGAAGGCCAGGGAACTTTCTTGCTCTCTTCCTTGCATACCAAGAGGTTCCCCTGCTGGGCTTGAAATACAGCTCCAGCAGCTAGGAAGAAAGAGAAGAGAAGAAAAAATCACCTAGGTAGTTAGACTTGAGGCAATGTCTCCTTCCTCTGAATCCCTGTAGACTGTGTTTATGCCTTGTCTTTCTGCTCTCTACCTCGGTGTCCTAATTATTTGTGGGCTTGTTTTATCTCTTCCACCAACATGTAAGCTCCCAGAGGCAGGAACTAGAATGTCATTCCAGTTCAGCTTTGTAATTGGCACCTGTACTGTTTCTTATATAAAGAAGAGGCTTAGCAAATAACTATTAAATTATTAAATATTAGAATATTTTTTAATGTAAGGGTCTGTTTTAAGGTTTATGGGTGGAGCATTTAGCCTGGGATCTGTGGGGGATAAGGGAGGATATATGTGTGTGTGTGTGTGTATATACATATACATACACACATATATACATACACACATATGTATATAGATATATAACTATTTCAACATAACTGGTTTCTTTTGTAATTCTACGTATTTTATTTTATGCATTATTCTGAGACCAGATTTCATGAAACTGCCAAAAATACAAAAATATAAAAAAGATTAAGAACCTCTGGAAAGGGGGAAGAGCATATGCAACCTCACTTCGGTAGTTTATCATATAATTTTAAAAATTCCTTTTTTGTGGGGGGGAGTCAGGTTGATTTTTTTTTCTTTTTTGTTTTAACTTCTCTTGGTCATGTCAGATGTAAGGCCTCATAAGATGGTAATGAGTTAGGTTCATAGGATGATAGAGAATGCTTTTAAAACTTAGCTTCTATAGAAAACTGGAAAAGAATTTTTACAACCAGGGTCTTTGATAAGGGTCTCATTTCTAAAATATATAGAGAACAGAGTCAAATTTATAAGAATACATGTCATTCCCCAAATGATAAATGGTCAAAGGATATGAACAGGCAGTTTTCAGATGAAGAAATTAAAGCTATCTATAGTCATATGAAAAAATGCTCTAAATCACTCTTGATTAGAGAAATGCAAATCAAAACAACCCTGAGGTACCACATCACACCTATCAGCTTGGCCAACATGACAAAACAGGAAAATAACAAATTTTGGAGAAGATGTGGGAAAATTGGAACACTAATGTGTTTTTGGAGGAGTTGTGAACTGATCCAATCGTTTTGGAGAGCAATTTGGAACTATGCCCAAAGGGCTATTAAAATGTGCATACCCTTTGACCCAGCAATAGCATTGCTAGGACTGTATCCCAAAGAGATCATATAAATGGGAAAAGGACCCACGTGTACAAAGTATTTATAGCAGCTCTTTCTGTGGTGGCAAAGAATTGGAAATTGAGGGGATGCCCATCAATTGGGGCATGGCTGAACAAGTTGTGGCATATGAATGTAATGGAATACTATTGTGCTCTAAGAAATGATAAGCAAGCGGACTTCAGAAAAACCTGGAAAGACTTGTATGGATGGATACGGAGTGAAGTGAGCTGAACCAGGAGAACGTTGTACACAGTAACAGCCACGTTATATGATTACTAACTTTGATAGACTTAGCTCTTCTCAGCAATGCAAGTATCTAAGACACCTCCAAAGGCCTCATGATGGAAAATGCTATCCACATCCAAAGAAAGAACTGTGGAGTTTGAATACAGATCGAAGCATACTATTTGCTCTTTTTTTTCTTCTGTTCTGTTTTATTTTTTCTTTTTTTGTAGTTCCTCCTATTGGTTCAAATTATTCTTTACAGCATGACTAATGTGAAAATATATTGAATAGGAATGTATATGTAGAGCCTATATCAGATTGCACGCCGTTTTGCGGAGGGAGGGAGGGGGAGAAAACTTAACACACAAAAGCTTGTTGAAGTGATTGTTGAAAACTAAAAATAAATTTTTAAAAGTTTAAAAAAAAAGAAAGAAAACTTAGCTTCTAATTGAAGTGTTACAGGCTAGAAAAGTCATTTCTGTGAATGCCTTTTAAATTCACTTTGACGTTATCCGACATGGTTCAAGGAGTATTCCTTGTATCTTGGAGGAGCTGATTGGGTTTCTGAGGTACAGCCCATAGGACTTCTCTGGCTCATTGGGATCAATATAGTCTGTTAGACAAAAATACACTATTAAAGAAATGCAGCAATGAGTGATAGGCTGGCTGGCCTTTGAGTCTGGAAGATCTGGGTTCAAGTCCTGCAGGCAGAGGTTAAGTGACTTTCCCAGGACCACACACCCCTCTTCAGGAATGTTTAGATGGAGAAGTAATAATCAGAAATCCATTTTTGATTGAAGATTTTTTTAATGTATAGAATGGTTATCCTCCTTTTTAAAATCAGAATGAAACTGGATTTAGCTTACTCTTTTTAATAGCAAAACATTTAATCCCTCAGACAGATGTAGGCAAGGTGTAATTTATGTTGAAAACATCAATGCTGACTGAATTTCCTCTGTAAGCCCTGGGCTTTGCCACTTTTTTTATAATTGTCATTCCCTTGTAGGTGAAGATGATTTGATTGGAATTTTATGTTGGACTTTGTGGTAGAGAGAAATTGAAAATCTTTTATTATTAATTTACCCGTAAGAAGTCCCCGAAGGTTGGAAATGATGAATCTTTCTTTCTTTCCCATTATGCCAAAGGGAATCCCAACTGCTAACGAAACGCCGCCAGACTACAGCAGTCCCCACTTCTTGAACCCTGCGTTAGCACCTTCTTCATCAATAAGCTCCACCGTAACCATGGAGAAGAAACTGGAAGACAAGGGCATCAACTCTTTCACCTCTGCTGATGGCCAGAAGAGCATCCCCTTGGCCATAACCTATGCCTTGGAACACATCATGGAACAGCTGAATGTCTTAACCCAGGTGAGTAGGCGCAGCCTGGTGGCCCACCTGTGGGCAGTCATCACACAGAGCAAGTGATGGTCCCAAACGCATCAGAACAAACAGAAAGTTCTCCTGCTCCAGTCACCCCTGAGGTGAAAGGTTTCCTAGTTCAAGAAGCCGTCAGGAAGCTGGGGAGCCCGTTCTCAGAGGATTTAGTTTCTCACCTTTGCCCAGAGCTGACTCTTCCTCTGGCCCGTGGTCCTTCCCCTCCATTGTCTTTCATGAATCTTCAAACTTGCCTTCTTGCTGACTCCTTCTCCACCGCTTTCAAACATGTTCAGGTCTCTCCTGTCTTACAAACCACGTTGGGCTCATTGGGGAGCACGGTCCTTCAGTGGTATTCCAAGCATCTCCCTTCTCCAACTCTGTGCCTACTCACCCCCTGCTCGGCCTCAGTACTGGATCCCTCGCCTGCCAGAGCTGCAGGTATGGGACTGCTCTCTTCTTCCCCCACCAGCCCAGTCCTTCTGGCCACTCACACTCCTGCCCAGGGCACATTCCTTCTTGTGCTAGGCCCGGGACAGTTTTCAGTCTGTTGCAGACAACAAGCAGCAGCCTGAAGCACCTTCAGTAGCCCTGAAGCCTCACAGAGCTCCTCCTCCTCCCCCAGCATCCTCAGGGTCCATCACCTCAAATCACTTGCACACAGTAGGCACTGGATAAATGCTTGTTAAATAGATCGATCACTGCCCTGCCAAGCCAATAAGTACGATGCAGATAAGGATGTCTTTGATGCCCTGTGACCAGAAGGGAGCAGCGCAGACTCTTGAGCAAAGAAATGGAATCTTATGCTGTATTTTTTGTACTGTTCCTGGGAGGCTCGATTTTTGATTCAGGGACTTTTTTTGTGCAGAATTTTCCTGTTAGCTCATTGTTTTTGTATGCATGATTGCAGCAGCAAGCTTTTAAGTCTTGGAGACTTAGAAAACGCAATTGTCTATGATTAATTATGGCCTCTGTTTAAAACATATTATGCTAATGTCAGGCTCATTTCTGTAGCTACTGTAGGACATATCTCTAATTATCTTAAGCCCTTCTGCTTTAACTCACTCACCTTCCACATTTCTCCTCTCTCCTCCCCAACACCCAATCCCCTTGATCTTTTTGGTTTTAATTTTTTGGACCTGGCCTATAGATTTCTAGAAAGAAAACCCCTCTAATGCAGATTAGAACTTGCTCTACAGTTTTGAGTGTCTGGAACACTAAGATGTGAAATGACTTGCCCAAGGTCACCTAGCCAAGTATGTGTCAGAGGGGAGAACTGAACCCAGGTCTTCCTGATTCCAAAATCCCCTACACTAAATTGTCCCTCACTTTATGTTGTGGGACTCCCTTTTATGTTGTAAGGATACTCGAATGTAGGTAGGGCAAACCCTTCAGCTAATACACCTATAGAATTCTACTTTTGATTTGTCTTCTCCATAGTTACTGGTTTGGGTCCAGTGGAGTGTTCATACTTCAGGAGTCTGTTTAGCCCCTCGGGCTTCTGTTTGGTTTTGTTCAGGAAAGAAACCCCTGGCCTTGGAATGCACTAAGAGTTAGGGGGCATGACACAATATGATGAATCGGCAAAAAAGACTGGGAAGGAGCAGTCAGAGAGGTAAGAGGAGAACCAGGAGAGCACAGAGTCAGAAAACCAAGAGAGGAGGGAGTATCCAGGACAGAGGGTGATGAACAGTGTCAGAGCCCGCAGGGAAACCTAGGGGGACGAGGATAGAGAGGAGGCCATTAGATTTGGTGATAAAGAGATCATTGCTGACGTTGGACAGAGGCATTTCGAGGGAAGGGTAGAGCCGGAAGCCAGATTTGTCATTGTTAATTCTTTCAGTACTGTCCAACTCTCCGTGACCCCATTTGAGGTTTTCTGATACTGGAGTGGTTTGCCATTTCCTTCTTCAGCTCATTTGACAGATGAGGAAACTGAGGCAAACCAGGTGAAGTGACTTGCCCAAGGTCACACAGCTGGGAAGTGTCTGAGGCGGGATTTGAACTCAGGAAGATGAGCGTTCCTGATTCCAGGCCCAGCGCTCTGTGCACTCTGGCACCACCTAGCTGCTCAGGAAGCCAGACTGGAGGAGGGGATGTGGAGACACTGAATTAAGTGCCTGCCTTCTAGGCCACCCAGCCAGTGTGACTTCTACCAGTCTGGAAGCTTCTCCTCTCTACCAAACAAGGGTTCTGATTTCTGCAGGAATGATGGTACAGGAGGTGGAAAAACACATAAACAAAGGGCTATGGCCTGTGAACCACTTGTCCAGAATGAAAATGTCAGGTTCAACTAGCCAGCATGGCCTGTTTACGAGAGGAATGGCCTCAGAGTCAGAGGGTTGAATTTGGGTTCGAGTCCTGCCTTGGCCCACATGCCCCCTGACCCTGAACCAGCCACGCCCCCACCAGACCCATACACACACAGCTGTCCGAGACCCTCAGTTGAGGAGCAGGTGCCCACGGGCTTTGGCAGAAGGCTTTCCTCCTCTCTGGAATCACAGCTGCAGTTTTTAAAGAAGCCACTCCTGCGTCTGAGAGTTTTCTTTCTGGACCCACACGAGATCTCAGGGCCTGTGGATGCTGAGGGCCTGGTGGAGCTTGGGGATGCCTGAGAAGGGCAGGTTGTCCACCAGGAGAGGTTTGCTCTGTGTCACAGCATCCGATTCCCACGCTGGCCATCTCTCTGGCCAGTTTTCCATAACCTGCAGGGCAGTCCCCCACTCAAAGGCCGCTTCCTGGCGAAAGCCTCTCAGTCGGCCTAAGGTCAGATGCTCACTTCCCTCCTGGCCCCCAACTTCCTCTTGTTACCAAGTGGCCTTTCCCTTCCTCGTCTTCCCCAGCGCCGCTCCTTGGGGCAAAGAACGATTCCTTCCCTTCCCCGCTTTGTCACTGTCTGGACCACAACCTCTAAGTCCACTCTGCTTCTTCCTAACTTTTTGAAACCAAGCCTCATGTTGGGGGGGCAGGAGATGAGGAAGAGTCAGAGGAGGGAGGGCCCCACCCAGCTCACTTTCCAGAAAGTCCATGCTTCACTGGGCTACCAGCTTCCTAAATAAGCACATTCTGATTCATTTTGTTTCAGATGACTCATGACTTCCTGGCTAACTCAGACCTGGGCAGTTTGTAACTGTTTCTGAATTGGGAATCAATTAAAATTCAATTAATTACATTTTTCATGGGAAGTTGCGTAGAGCAAGCTGCCCTGATCTTAAAACTCTTAAGAGTCTCAGAAGTAGTGCTTAAATGCCACTGATTTAGAAATGTGGATTTTAGATGAAAAAATTCATATTGCTGTGAATTAAATCCTGGACCTGACATGGTCTGCTTGTTAGACTCTCCCAGGTGCTCAAGTCCACCTTTTTGGAAGGAGATTCCTTCCTACATGTATGCCTTATCTTATTTTAAGCTGCTTATCCATGTATACTTTAAATGGGATGCATTGGCATGGGATGGTTTAGGGCCCTGGAGTGAGGCATCTGTGGCCTTAAGGCCACATATGGCCTTCCAAATCCTTAAATGCGGCCTTTTGACTGAATCCAAATTTTACAGAACAAATCCTTTAGGAGTCAGTCAAAAGGCTGCACTTAAAGACTTAGAAAGCCATATGTGGCTTTAAGGCCGCTGGTTCCCCACCCCCTGCTTTAGGCTTTGTTGCTTGGATTGGAGATAGACAAGCATAGGGATGGATGAAGGTTCTGGCTTCCTCAAATGCCATCTCCTCAAGCGTCTCTTGGAGTATTAGTGGAATAGGTTCAAAATAAGAACCAAAAGTCAGGAGAATCTAATTTACTACCCTTTCCACTCCCTCTAGTTCAGGAATTCTTAACTTGTGGATCCCAGAGGGATTCCATGGATAGATTTCATGGGGGGGAAAAATTTCATCATTTATTTTCACTCACCTCTAACTGAAATGTAGCATTTCCTTCATTTATTTAAAATCATGATTCTGAGAAGGGGCCCATAGGCGTCCATGTTGTCAGAGGGGCCCACGACAACAAAAAGGTGAAGAATTCCTGCAGGTTGATCCCTTATTCCTTAAAAGTTTCCTGTTTTCCCTCCTTTCCCAGAAGCCCACTTTCTAGTCATTTGCCCAGGCCGGCAGGATCTAGGGGCCTTTTAACTTTACGTGACAAGCACCTGGAATTCTTAAGTTATTGTCTTGTGAATTTGTTTTTCACATGTTTTGGTGACTGTATTTCAGCAGAATTGATTACCTTTGTATTCCTGTGTGTCTTATTTTATGCTTTGAAAGACATTGTTCTGAGAAGGCATGCATAGGCATCCAGGCTGACTGCCCAACGGGATCAATGATCCCATAAAGGTTCAGAACCCCTCCCCTGAGTCCTGGTGTGCTGTGCCCTTCTGACAGAGGGTAATGAGTCTATCATCATAACCACCCTCTGTTCGTTTCATTGTCCTCTTCTTGTAGACTGTCTCTATTCTGGAGCAGCGACTGACATTGACCGAGGATAAACTGAAAGACTGCCTAGAAAATCAACAGAAGGTTTTCAACAGAGAACAGAGAAGCTGAACAGAAAGTTTGAGTAGACAGGCCGACGAACACCTGTTTTTATAGGATCTTAGAAAGGTAATAGGCAATACTTCCTGTACTTCAACAACAAGCAGACAAACCATCACAGCATTTCGTAAGTCTGAGCACCAGAGCAAAACCAAACCAACAGAAAAACAAAAACCCACATACAAGGACTAATGGCAACATCATCAGGGATGGCAGTTGAGGCTAATTGAAAATACTGACATCTGGAATTTTTTGTTTCTGCTCACAGTTACCTAGTGTGTAAGTGAGTATGACTTTCCCCCTTTGTTAATCAAAATGACAGTTCTCATTTAGAGCTAGATCCTGCCAGGTTAGGAGCCCACTCTCTGGACGTAAATTAGCCACGCCACATCAGATGTAACTCCTTTAAGCATCGAATGGGGTTCTGTAGAGAGCAGAGCTGAAGGACCCATTGGCCTCCAGAAAGACATAAGAAAGCCAGGGAGTAGGTTATTTATGCCTGGTTCCGTATGCCATTACCCGTTCCATTGAGGCTTTTATTAAAAATAAAGCTTCCTTTCTTAATAATGCCTTGAAAACACAATCTAAAAAGGATGAGACACTGAGAATTTCCCCAACAAGCTAACATCTAAGAGTATACATGACTTCTGAGTAACAAAGTTGCGCACAATGGGTTTTTATTTGCATTTGTTTTCCACTGTTTCGCTGGTGGTCAGCCCCCTCCCTCCGAGGGGGAATAGCTGTCATTTAGGACAGTGAATAGGTATGGAAATCTAGAGGCACAGACTTCTTTCCTTTGAAAGATGAACACACTGCACCAATGGCCGGAAGCAACAGTTCCTAAAGATTATGTTAATGTGATTTCAGGATGCTCGAGGGGCAAAAGGGAGCGAGAGGGATAAACTACATTGCAATATTACTGGTGAAGAAGGGTGCCTTCTGGCTGCTGAAGAGCAAAGCCCTTTTAAAAAAAATTACCCCGCAGCATCGTCATCATCTAATGATTTTGTCACGACTGGTGGTTGAAAAACACAATAAAAATGAGCCGAGCCTTTCTAAAGAATCTTGATTTCAGATTGAGTTTTGTTTTGTTTTGTCTTTTTTCCTAAAACAAGGTTTAAGATCAAAGTGAAGAAAACCAGGTGAATTAGTGAAGCAAATGGGATTTTTACAGTCATATGTTAGCTGGTGTATTTGGTCACAGTTATCACATTGACCATATGTAATCTGCAGGTTCCGTTTATCTGTATCAAGACCAAAGGGAACATTAAAAAAAAATTTTTCATATTTACAGTGTCTGCAAGTGACTAGGGAAGGGGGCTAGACTTTTTTTTTAATGAAGTCCTTTGTTATGTGTGCATATGTATACATGTATATTCAGTATTCCCACACCTTAATTTTATTTTATCTGTGAGGTCAAACACTGAGTTTCTGGTCTATTCATAGGGTGCTAGTACCTTTATATCAAACGTGGTTTGAATTTTTTACAAATTTCCAAATGCTTACAAAGATTAAATGGTTTTTTTTAAATAACCTCCTTGGAAAAAAACAATTTCTGTTTAGTTCTCCACTCTGTTCTTCAAATAATAAAGACTATTTCTATAACAATTTTTTCATGTTTTTCATATTTTTTAATGAGTAAGACCTGGAAAAAAACTAGACCTCCTGATTTCTATAGCCACCATTTTTTATATGAATCATCCATTCTGATTTTTCTAAATGCTGTGAAAATAATGATATAAAATAAAAATATTTTGAAGAATTTTCAATATTGACATTTAAAATTTTTCTTGTGTGAGTTCTCCTCTAAGTCTTGATGAAATTCAAGAAAGTCTGGAGGCCACGTGGTGTGGTAGAAAGGGCATGCACTGACTCTGGAGTTAAAGGTCCTGGATTCAAAGTTGGACTCATATTTATTACCTATGTGTCCTTGGACAAGTCATTTCCCTTTCATGGGTCTCAGTTTCCTCATCTGTAATAGAAAGGGGTGGAACTAGATCTCAGATCCTTCTTTCCCAATTAAAAATCATAAATACCATTCTTTTTTAAATCCAATTTTCTTTTCAGTTTTGAGTTCTCTCCCTCTCTTTCCCCCACTCACCCACTGAGAAGGCAAGAAAAACCAAAACCCATTTGAAAGATGTATAGTCATGCAGAACAGATTCCTATATTGGCCAAGTTGGAAAGAAAAAGAATGTGCGTGCATGTGTGTGTGTGTGTGTGTGTGTGTGTGTGTGTGTGTGTGTGTGTGTACGCGTGTGTGCATGCGAGAGAGAAAGAGAGAGAGAGAGAGAGAGCAGGAGTGAGGAAGAAATGAGAAGAACATATGCTTCATTCTGCAATCTGAACCCATCAGTTCTGGTGGATACTCTATTTCATCATGAGTCCTTTTGAATTACTGTCATTATGTTGATCTGAGTTCCTTAGTCTTTCATAATTGTTCATCTTTGCTGTATTGTCATTATTGTATAAATTATTCTCCTGGTTCTGCTTATTTCCCTTTGCATCAGTTCATACAGGTCTTTCCAGGTTTCTCTGAAGCCATCCCCTTCATCATTTCTTACAGCACAACAGTATTCTATCACATTCTTATACCATAATTTGTTCAGCCATTCCCCAATTGATGAGCATCCTCTCAGTTTCCAATTCTTTGCTACCACAAAAAGAGATGCTATAAATATGTGTGTCCTGTTCCTCTTTCTTTGGTCTCTTTGAGAGCATAGACTAGTATCCTCTATCAATTTCAAATGTCCAAAGATAGAGACAACAATCCACCTGCAGATGAGCCATTGCTGCTTTCTCTCTCAGGTGGAGAATTCCCCAGGTATTTTCAAAAAATAAAGAAGGGAACATAAGGACTCCTTCACCTAACCCTGGGCTGCTATAACCACCATATTAGGGCTTCTCACAGCTCCCTCTGTAGACTTGCAGCAAAGAGTGGAGTCTGCATACATAGTGACCTTATAAATGGCAACCAGATCCATGATAATAAGAGGAAGAATGAAACGAAGCCTGTTTGTCCAAGGGTGGGCTGTCATAGGGGACCCAAAAGCCAGTGGTGTCAACTCCCTTTTCAATTTTTAACTTTCCTTTTTTCTACGTTCTTAATGGTTTCCCAGGAGTCAGTGCTGAAGATCGTCTAATCCCTCTTCCCCACAGACATTGCTTCAGATACTGAACAAGTTTGGTACGGCAGAAAGCACTCTAGCTCTGGTGTCTGAGGTTTGGCATTCAAATTCTTCTTCTGACACTTCCTGTGTGACCTTGGACAAATCATTCCATCTACTTCAACTAGGTTTCTGCATCGGGGGGATTAGACAAGACAGCATCTGAGGTCCTTTTCAGCTGTAGATTAAGGATCCCCTATGATTATCACACACACCCCTTAAATTTTTTTTCTCCATAAAGTAATAATAAAAATAATAATACAGGACTCTTTCAAGGCCCCGTGGTTGGCATGGGTATATGTTTAGCCTTTTTTTTTTAATCCATGCTAAACATCCCTATTTCTTTAAGCTGACCCTTCAGATGTCATGGTTTTGAGTCCCTTCACTATCCAGGTTGCCTTCCTCTCCATATGCTCCACCTCCCAAAGTTCCTTTGAAAAGCTGGCACCCAGAACAGAACACAATACTCCAGGTGTGGTCTGGCCAGCACAGAGTACAGTGGGACTATTGTTTTCCTTGTTCTAAATTTTAATGCAACCTAAGCTTACTTTTTTTTTTTTACAACCACATCACTGTTGACTCATACTGGGCTTGAAGTCAACTAAAAACTTTGAGTATTTTTCATGGAAATTTTTATCTAGTCACATCTCTCCAACACCACCCTCCTGCCCCTCCCCTGGTGCTTGTATTTTTTAACCTAAGTTTAGGACTTATACATTTATCCCTATCTAAATGCCCACTTCCTAGATTGAACCCATTTTATAGTTTGTGAAGATACTTTTCATCTTGATTCAATCATCCACTAAATTAGTTATTCCTCACTGATTTGTGTCATTCACAAACTTGAGAAGCACGCTAGCTGTACCTTCATCCGAGTCATTGATTAAAATGTAGAGTGGAACCGAGCCAAGAACAGAATCCCGAGGGCATGACACTACAGACCTTCCTCTAAGCTGACAATAATGTATTAATCCCCAATCTTTGGACACAAGCAGCCACCTAGCTGGGATGTATTGTCATCCATCTAATCCAGTGATGTCATAAGAGATAACAGCTATCTTCATTTCAACTGGCAGCATTGTGGTACCGTAAAAAGAGCACTGGTTATATAGTCAGGGGACCCTAGTTCAAATCCTGCCTCATAAGAAAAAGCTTTTACAGTGGAAGGGAAGAGGGGGAAGGTGAGAGGAAGTATGTGAACCTTACTCTCATCAGAATTGTCTCAAAGAGAGAATAACATACACACTCAATTGGATATAAAAGTCTATCTTACTCTACAGGAAAGTAGAGGGAGGGGATCACAGAAAGGGAGTGATAGAAGGAAGGGTAGATTGGGGAAGGTGAGAGTCAGAAGCAAAATACTTTTGAGAAGGGGCAAGGTGAAAGAAGAGAGAGAATAAACGGGTGGGGAGAATAGGATGGAGGGAAATACAGTTAGCAATAGTAATTGTGAAAAAAAATGAAGCATGTTTCTCTGATAAAGGCCTCATTTCTCTAATATATAGAGAACTGAGTCAAAATTTATAAAAATAAAAGCCATTCCCCAATTGATAAATGATCAAAAGATGAAATCAATTTTTAGATGAAGTAATCAAAGCTCTCTATAGCCATATGAAAAAATATTCTAGCTCACTATTGATTGGAGAAATGCAAATTAAAACAATCCTGAGGTACTAACTCTTACCTATTAGACTGTCTAATAGGACAGAAAAGGTAAATGGCAAATGTTGGAGGGGATGTGGGAAAAAGATATTAATGCATTGTTGGTGGAGTTGTGAACTGATTCAACCATTCTCTAGAGAAATTTGGAACTATTCCCAAAGGGCTGTAAAACCAGGCATACTCTTTGATCTAGCAATACCACTACTACATCTGTATCCCAAAAGAGATTTAAAAAAACAAAAAGGAAAAGGATCCATATGTGCAAAAATCTTTATAGCAGCTCTTTTCTGGAGGTAAAGAATTAGAAATTGAGGGGATGCCCATCTATTGGGGAATGGCTGAACCACTTGTGGTATGTGATTATAATGGAATACTATTGTACTATAAGAAATGATGAGCAGGATGCTCTCAGAAAAATGCGGAAAGACTTGCATGGGCTGATGCAAAGTGAAATGTACTGGGTACAAAGTAACAGCAATATTGTAAGATGATCAGCTGTGAATGACTTAGCCATTCTTAGCAATACAACAATCCAAGACAACTCTGAAGGACTTATGATAAGCAATGGTATCTATCCCCAGGCAAAGAACTGGTGGTGTCTGAATACAGATGGAGGAAGCATACTTTTTGTTTTTACTTTATTTTTCTTGAGTTTTTTTTGTCTGTGTTTTCTTTCACAACATGACTGTTATGGATATGTTTTGCATGACTACACATGTATAACCTGTGTGGAACTGCTTGCCTTCTCAGTGAGGGTGGGTGAAGAGGGAGGAAAGGAGAGAACTTAGAACTCAAAGTTTCAAAAACAAATGTTAAAAATTGTTTTTACATGTAACTGGGGGAAAATAAAATACTAAATAAATGCAAAAAAAAAAATCCTGCCTCAGACACTTATTACTTAGGTAACTTTAGGCAAGTCACTTGACCCTTGTAGGCCTCATTTTCCTTATCTATAAAATAAGGAAGTTGTACTACTAGATGTAACAGGTGGCCTCTCAGGCTTCTTCCAACTCTAGAACTAAAGTGCTATGGTCCTTCGGTCAACACTCTTCTCTTATCAATGTCTCAGTCTAGAAACTCTGCCAATAAAAGAAAAAAGCTAGTGTTCCACAACTTTTTAAAATTTTTATTTTTAATTTGTGGAATGCAACAAGCATTCCCATAGCATAGTACAACAAAAAAGATATTGCCCATGAAACTGCAAATCTACTCTGCACAACTTGCTATTCCTTTCAAATATACAACAATATCATCATGTAAATTTTTTTCTTAGCAACTAACTCTTAATGATCACTCTACACCTTTTTGAATTCTCCACAAATTACACAAAGACTACTTTTAAAACATAAAATGTCATACTTAGTGGTTTATTTTTTCTTCCTTTTTTGAAAAATCTGGATCATTCTCCAGTCTAATAGCTGCTCTGCCCTTCTCCATTAATTCTGAAAGCTAACCTGTAGCAAGCAGTTCAGTGATCAAGTTCTTTGAGGTCTCTGTGGAGTAATTCAACCAGGTCAAGAGACATAAACTCATTGAAAGCAGTTCCTTCATTTCTCCATGAAAGACCTGTTCTCCTGCCTTAGGATGATATGGTAGTGACCTCAGCTTCTTAAAAACTAACTCGATGAAGTACAAGCTCGGGCAGATTCTACCAAAAAGGAAGTAGTTATAATTTTGGACTATCTGCTTTCTGAAAACCAGCCTGTCTGTGAATGGAGGAGGTTGGCTATTGGGTGATGGTTTAAAAAAAAAACATGGCAGCCCCTGAAATGGGTTCCC